ATCAACCATACAAATGCAGCAAATGTTTTACAATATACAAATAATGTATTACATAAGATATTGGGTAAAATGTAAATATATTTTAAATTTTGGGTTTTGAAAATCGATCTAATTTAACAAAAAACATTCAATATCTACTAATAGTGATGTATTATTATTTGCATTCACAAAATATATATATGTATCATAGACTTAAAATAAAATATAGACTACACTATTTACATCTCAACGCGGACAAACAACCTTTTTTGTACACATGTTTACTTCTGGGTACAGTCGACCGAGCCTTCCTCATCCAGCCTATGTTGTCACGTCTTTAATATTATCAATATTTTTTTTCTTGTTATACACATATATTGAGATATTAATACTACAGTTTAATAAAGTAGGTTTTAATATTCCATAGATGTATTAAATAGTCCTTATACTACTAAATTATAAGTCGGATACTGTTTAATAAGGATAAGTTCTTTACAATATGACAACACCGATTAGAGGCGAGGGAGCCTATTTATTCATTTATTACCTTGTAGTACGTGTCGCACGTGTGCGGTAAAGCTTTGTTGCCGCTATCTCCCCGGCTGTATTAACGCATTTTCTTAGCTTGTAGTCCTTAAGTGTTTATTTTATTGACTTTTCTGTTCAAAAACTATAAAATATGGTTCGCCAGTGCCAAATTTGCAAGAAATTTGACTTAAATAATCCATTTAAGTCTTGAAACGACTTTGACCGGTAGGCAACTCTCAATTTACCCATTGGCAGTCAGTGGCGTTGTTGTAGAAAGGCGCTTATTTAGATAATATTTTAGTAAAATGTAAAATCTGAATTTTTTCTTTTACATTACATTATTTACTTACTTACATTGTAACAAAATCATAATTATAACATTATTAATAATAATTAATAATGTTTTTATTAAAAATATATTCCGGTTTATTCTAAAATTATCTTCAGAATCTAAAATAACATACAAGAATTTTAAAATGATATTACATTATGAAACAATATTTTTTAATATACCGGGTCGTCTCAAAAGTGGCTCAACCCTATAACTTTTTTTATTTTTTCAGATAAAAAAACAGATTTATATGTTAGTAGGTATATGACATAAATTAGGATTTATTGACGTATTCAATTGTTTTTGGTCTCTTCCTGTTTCACCGAAATGATTACATCTTTTGATTTTTAAAGGCACCCTCGGTATATTGCTACTTTATTCGATAAAAAATGACACTCTGAATAGAATGACATATCATATGTCAACTTTTGACATTGTCGCTTAAAAACATATCCTATTTTAAATTTCAATCCAGTTTTTTTTCAATCCACTAAGTTTTAATCAAGCAGCCTTGGAAAAATAGTTTTGATCGTCTAATAGGTTTCGTGTCTTGTCTAGGCCGGTTAAAAGATGTACAAATCGTATTTTTAATCATACATATGTCAATTTTTTTCAAATGGAACAAGGGTGACTCATTAGCATATTTGGAAAAAGCATTTTTTTATGAATATATTGATACCACACACTTGGTATTTCGAGTCAAATTGTCGTTATGAACCGCGTGTTACAATTACAATTAAACCATATGCGAAAATGTCAAAAGTTGACATATGATATTTCATTCTATTCAGAGTGTCATTTTCTATCGAATAAAGTAGAAATATACCGAGGGTGCCGTTTAAAAATTAAAAGTTATAGTCATTTCCGGTGACACAGGAAGTGACCAAAAACAATTGAATGCGTCAATCAATCCTAATTTATTTCATATACTAACATACTAAATCTTGTTTTTTTATTTGAAAATATAAAAAAATTATGGGGATGAGCCACTTTTGAGCCGCACCCGGTATAATAAAGACAGTACCGAGTTAAATAAATGTAGTTTTTATTTTATCCACTTCCTATCACCTTCCTTGCTTTAATGGAACAGATTTATGTTTTCTCTAATTTACATAATAAGACATCACTTAACTAGAAAAAAAATTACAACAATCATTTTTTTTTCTCTCCCTGTCGCCGATTCTATTATATCTGTGGAATAGATCCGGTTTTGATTAATATTAGGGGTTGTAAATGTTTGACTAAAATTAATAATTTATTATTAATTTCAAAAATTACGTAATTTCGATTATAAAATTTCTTCTATAACGTGTATTTTATTATGTTTATCCTTTTCGGACTCTAAGACGTTTTTTCTAAACTTTTATGTAAAAAACCTGTCCTAAATCTTAATAAAATATAAAAACGTTTAAATACGATATATTTTTAATTTACTTATAGCTTCATTAAAATAAAAAAATTACCCGGCTATGATACGGAGAGTTCAGGTGTACTTGAGAAACGAAAGACAGTGTTTGTTTCTCGGCAGAGTCGTCAGGGAACGACCGTTACGACAGAGACAACCTATCTATCGCTCGTGTCGCACTCGTTATAACCTAAAACAATAACACAACAATAACAAGACAGTGTCTGACCGCATGTTCCAGCTATTTATGAATGAGATGCTCAGTCTATATTTTATTTTAAGTCTATGATATGTATATTTTGCAAGTATCAATGTTCGAAAAATTATATTTACAAATAATACAATATCATCTAAAAAAAGGCGTCAGCGATGGCTATGGAATGAAGATCGCTGGCATTTTATATGTAAAATTATTCTAAAATTTTTGATTTTCTTGGGATTTTTAGGTTCGGGAAAAATGCTGATTTAAGTTTTCATTTGGGTTTTCATTATTTTTATTTCGTTTTATCTTATTTTTATTTAAAATATTCACACCACATAATGTTTACTGCAATTAATAAACTAATATAAACTTATCAAAAGATAACCACATATTTTTTAAAATTATTATTCTTAGCACTAGAACTATCTACATTGACTATGGAGTACGCAGTAAACATTATGTGGTGCGTGGTGTGAATATTTTATATGTAATTTTTTGGATTATATTCGACACTATTTTTTTCATATGACACAACACTGATGATGGCTATAATGTTAGCCAAATCGTTTTTTTTTAAACCAAATAAAAATAATGAAAAACCAAATGAAAACTTGATCCGCGTTTTCCTCGAACCTAAATCCCAAGAAAATCAAAAAATTTAGAATATTTAGAAACAAGGTTCAAGAATATCAAATTTTCCAAGATAGTAAAATTCTAGTTAATTATTTTATGTGTACAATTATTTAGGGAATGTCATCGATGTTCATTTCCAAGCCAACTAGACGCCGATTTTTTTCGATGATACGGTATAATTCTTACATAAAATTTAAATAACATTAGACCATAGCATTAGACCAATTAAAACAAAGAAATATGAATTTCTTAGTATTTTTAGTAACACCTTTATTCTTAAAACTTAACTTGTATTGCAAATATACCAATTTAATTGTTATTTTATTCATATTGTATTCAGCCATCACTTAAATATTTGATATTAATTTGGTATTATAAATAATCAACACTATTCAATAAAAACTACTGAACAAATATATGTTATGCATCATACATTATATTATCAAACAAAATCACATTCTTCTTTTAAACTTTATCATTCTTGTCTTTACAAAAATCTTTTTTAATTTTGAACTCAGATAATAATCTTTTTCATGATCTTTAATACACATATTCTTTATTTTTCCCTAGATCATAATACCTACTTACGTGTTTATCTTACGTGTTTGAATTTATCGAAGCTGAACCAACAACACTTGGAGTGGAGATTCCACAATATGAATAAAATACACATAATTGTCCAGTTTTCTTTAATACCATCCTGGGAGAATATTATTTTTAAATTTATTAAAGATATTTTCAATAGAATTCTCTTGATTTATATTTAACTCGTACCCACTTTTCTTGCTCTTCCGGATACTTTAGGCTGCATAGTATAACTATCCTTTCCACCAGGAACACAACAAAGATGAGGCATAGCACCAAAAACACACTCCACTTAAGCTTATTGATGAATTGTTAGAGTCTTAAAAAACACGCACAAAAATCACGATAAATAAAAAATTTATGGGCACTTTTAGGTTAAAGCACTTAACAAAACGTGTAATATTTCGTGTTTTTTTTTATGAGAGAAACAGAGTGACCATCATTAGTGACCATATATCTGGTAGTACTTTATGTCACTTAAACATCAAAATAATTAGTTTTTTGCACTACAATAACAAATAATACCAAAAATCAACCGACAAAATATGAATACAGAATCTAACCCAATATCTAAGTATGTACAGCTGATGAAGTAAACAAAAGTCCGCCCGTAGGCTGATCTTTTATAGAAGGCATTGATTTAGCGTATAAAACAATAAACTTTTGATTTCTAACCAAAATTTTTCTTGACGGGCAATAATCAAAGGCCTACCAAAATGACATTCCTCGCAAATTTTGAAGTATAATTAGTGGAAAAGTCAAGAGTTTGTTAACTTTTTCCAATAATTGAAACTTACTACCACTAATTATAACGTTCTGAATGCTTACATTAAAATTAGGTGAACAAACTTCTACGGCTAATTGTAACTACTAATTTATTCTACTGATTTCGAGGTTCCTGAATGAAGCTTTAGACCCTGTAAGTAATTATATATTGTGAAACTATGGTTACGCTCGTTGAATTTGACACTTTATGTGAGTCATAGATGTGAGTTAAATAATATATTTTCGAAATTTTATGCTTAGGCGTAAAAGTGGCTGAGTCAAAGTTAAAATGACTTTTTTATGTTGTCAATCACATCGCAAAAATTAATACTTTTGTGACGTTTGAAAAAAAATATTATTATTGAAAAATACCTGTACCTGACACCTAAATGAAAAGTTAAATATTTTGTAATTTTCTTTTTTATCATGTTACATTGACAAACAGACTGAAATATTCTAGATAAATTTATAGAAAAATTTCTACCACAAATTATCCTAAACTTATTAAGTTCAAAAATGTTTAACTCACATTATTTTCCTTAGTTGATATTGATTTAGCGGTTTTTTTATAGGAACTATATTTTTATGGCTCTACTGGCCAAGTTTCAATGCTATTGATCTAGATACAGATAAGGCTTACAGAGCTATCATTAATACCTACTTATCCTTAACTGCAAGTTGCGTCACTGCTTTTATTACATCACAACTTACTTTTACGGATCATAAGTTTAATATGGTGAGTAAAAAGTTTTTTTTTAATTGTATGTTTATTACCGATTACAGTCATTCCGTTTTTTAAGTGATCAATCTAAATAGTTTTCCTGTATTCTCCTCAATATTTCCTTTAGAGGCTAAAATGTATGCCGGGATTCAATGCGATCAAAAATATTCGTGACTAAACTTTGTTTGTATATACTGGGGTCGGCATTTCTGATCTTGGGTGCCGATTTTCGTGTGTACGAAGAGTACGGTCACACGCTTAGTAAAATAAGATGTACTGAATAAAGACAGAAAAAGAAGTATTTTCCCAAGCGCATGAAATCTAGCGTCGGGTTAATTGGTTATGCAATAAATACTTGCTCTTTGCTCTCTTCGACTTACTCGATTGCCACTTACCCTTACACTTACTACGATTGCCATAGCGATTCACTCCTATACATGTAAATTCCGACCCACTGTTTCGCTTGTTAGAATGGTATATGGGAAATTGCATTAATTTTTTTTCTACTACCATGTTCAAAGCCCACTTGATGATAAAACATTTTTATGATACCCTACCACTTCTGCCAAGTAAAGGTTAATTTATATATAATACAATTCTTCTCCATTGAGTTCTATTGTGAACTGCTTCTTCCCAATGATTCTGCATGTTAATCCTCTTTAAGTTTTCGTGGAAAATGTCCTTGTACCTTTTGAGTTGTCCACCCGGCCTCCTCTTACATCTACAAGCTCATCGTAAAGCAGAGATTTTGGTATGAGGTTTTCTTGCATTCTGCATACATGACCAGCTCATCTTACGCGAGATTTTGTAACCATGACTTCAATACTGTCGCAGTTAGCTTTTATAAGGACCGATACGTTTGAGACATGATGGAACCACCGGATTCTTAAGAGTTGTCTAAGGTGTATCTGTTGCAACTTGTTTAATGCCTTCATGTGTCGGTGGCACGGTACCCAGGTTTCGCTCCCATATAACATGGTGGGGATTATAATTGCTAGGTATACTGCAAGTTTCATTTTTGTGCTCCAGTCATGATTGTAGAAAACTCTGTCTTTTAATTTCCAGAATGCTCTTGAGGCGCTGCTAATCCTGTGCTGAATTTCAGAGTCGATATTGGCCTTTTCCGAAATCAAACTGCCGAGGTAATTAAATTCCGCTACATATTCCATTAGTTCTTCTCCGATTTTTATAGAATTGTTATGATCTTCCGGGGGAGTGCACATGATTTTGGTTTTGTCAATGTTTAGCTTAATACCCAAAGCCTTGTATGCCCAGGTATATGTGTTCAATATTTCTTGTAATTGTTGTAACGTGTTTGCAACCAGAGCGCAGTCGTCAGCGCATTGAAGTTCTGTGATGAATTTTGTATGTGTTTTTGCCCTCAGTCTTTTTATGTTGAACAGACCGCCGTCATATCTGTATCTAATGCCCAATCCTCTCTCCTGCATCCTCTCTCTTTGCTATCCACTATAATAGAGAGCGCTGCCATGAATATGTTGAATAGGAGGGGCGCTAAGACGCATCCCTGCCTAACTCCTGTATTTGTCAGGAAGGGATCGCTGAGTGATCCACGATGTGACACTCTTGACTGGTTGTTGTTATGGAGGCTTTTACACACTGTAAGAAATTTGGTGGGTACTCCGAACTTTTTCATAATTGCCCAAAGTGCATCTCTGTTCACAGAGTCGAAGGCTTTTGTTAGATCGATGAATGCAACATAAAGTTTAGACTGCTGCTCTTTTACTTTTCCTGTAGTTGGCGGATGGAAAATATGGAATCGATGGTGCCACGGTTGGTGCGAAAACCCGTTTGCGATTCTGGAAGGATTTTTTCTATATGTGGATGAAGGCGATTTGACATAATTTTTGCAAGAATTTTTCCTCCGATAGCCAATAGTGAAATTCCCCGGTAATTTCCGCAGTCTGATGCACTTCCTTTGTTCTTAAATATATTCACTATATTCGCGTTGCAAAAGTCCTGAGGTACCTCTCCGCTTTCCCATATGACATCGAAGAGAGCCTTAAGATGACCAATAAGTTCTTTACTTGCACACTTATAGATTTCGCCGGGATCGCGTCACAGCCAGCTGACTTGTTGTTTTTAAGCTGTTTTATGGATGCCATTATTTCCTGTTCTGTTATTGGGGTATCTAATACATCGAGGCTGTTATACTGAGGAATTGTGTTTAGTGCTTCTATATTGGGGTTGTTTTCTTGGTTAAGGATATGGCTGTAATGCTCTTTCCAGCGGTTTCTAATTTGCTCTTCCTCTTTTAGAAGTTCGCCATTTTGTGCCACGATTGGGCAGCTTACCTTCTTGGTTGGGCCGTATACTTCTTTTACAGCCTCAAAGAATTTACAATAATCGTGATGCGTGGCGTACTCTTGAATCTGATTAGCCTTTTGTGACCACCAATCATCCTTTAATTGACGCAGATTTCTTCGAAGCGTGTTGTTGGCGGCTTTAAAGTTGTCTACCAGCCTTGGATTGCGTGGATTTGCAGTGACTGCTTGATATGCTCTATGCTTTTGTTGCAAGAAGGTCTGTATATGAGGTTGATTTTCGTTAAACCAGTCTGGTTGTTTGTTTTTGCTGGACTTTCCCAGTACTGCTTCATCAGTTTTATGAATCGCATCCCTTAATTGTGTCCAGCCTTGTTCAGCTTCCAAGATTGAGATTGAGGTTATCGGTGGAAGTGATTCTTTGATGGCTTCCCGGAGGGCGTCGGCGGTATTTTTTGTCTCTAGACCCCGTACGTTCAATCTGGTCATATTGTTTTGCTTTTTACAGTGTGGATGTTTGGGTTTTAACTGGATTTTCATTTTTGAAATTAAAAGTCGGTGGTCAGTGCCGCATTCGGCATCTATTCTGGCTTTTGTGAGTCTGACATCTTTTAGATGCGACCTTCGAACGATTACGTGGTCCAATTGGTGCCAATGGCCTGACCTGGGATGTTTCCAGGTACCTTTAAACTTGTCCTTCAACATGAACCACGTATTGGTGATGCATAGATTATACTTTGTGCATGTTGTTAATAAGCGTTCGCCATTGCTATTTACGTTTCCTATTCCATGTTTTCCCAATACGTCAGGCCATATTTCCTGTTGTCTCCCGACACGAGCATTAAAGTCACCTAGCAAAATGATTCGTTCATGCTTTGGAATTCGTTGGAGAGCATTTTGTAGGGCTTGGCAAAATTTATTCTTATCCTCAATTTTAGCGTCTAGGGTGGGAGCGTAGGCACTAATGATTTTGACGTAAGATTTGTCTGATATGGGGTACCTTAGGGTCATAAGACGTTCGGAGACACCAATAGGTACTTCTGTTAATTTGGTGGCGATTTCGTTTTTGATTACAATGCCTACGCCATGAATTCTCCTGAATGTGTTGCGGGGTGACCCTTCCAGAAGAAGGTATAATGCTCCTCAGTGAGACTACCCTCATCCGCAAAGCGGGTTTCGCTAATAGCGGCAACATCTATATTCAGTCGGTGGAGTTCCTGTGAGACCAGTGCTGTTCTTCTCTCTGGTCAATTGTAGTTTGTCCTGTCCAGTAGAGTGCGGACGTTCCACGCCACAAACGTGAAACATTGATGTTTTTTGTTTCTCCGATGATACGCTCGAGTAGACACCCCCTCCCGGAGATCCGATAGAGGGGGTATTTTACCTCCGGACGATGATTTTGTCCTACTCGAATGTTCCATCTTTGATGAGTGTTAGCTGCGTAAAAAAGGTTAAACTGTGACGGTTACGCTGCCGTACAGTTTGGCTGCAACTGTAGCACGGGATGGCTATGGCACAGTGAGGACCGCGAAGATAGTTCCCTTGTGCTACGTTTTCGGCGGGCTAGGAGTACCTAGTTTACTACTCCTCTTCCCCAGAAACGTGATAGGTCTGAGGGTTGTATAAGGACATACCGCCTATACTCGGTCGTCAGAGCCTCGTTTGTTTAAACAGGGTGCACCACGTGAAGGTGAGGTTGACTTTTTGGTAAGCTAGGCTATATGTATCGCTTCACTACCCCTTGCACCCCACACATTTAATATAAACATAACAAATTTAATATAAAAATAGCAGACAAAGCAGACTGGATAAATGATGTACCCAAGAACGTTAGAAGCGTAGAAGCTGGAATAGTGGATCTGAAACCATAAATAACTCTAAGGGTAGGCATTTCCAAGGATACCACAATTTTCCAAACGAAAGTAAACGCAATCCATTATGTGTGAAGGAAATAAAGACATAATAAGCCAGGAAAGGGCATACGGTTCAGTTGTTAAGCACAGCTAAAGACACTCAGTTCCACAAAAGTCAATGCTAGACTAGTGTGGGTTTGTGTTCTTGCTCTAAATATATTGTGTGAATATAACAATGTTAGGTTTGGCTTGGTTTGGTTAGGATCAGAATGGACAATTAAGGCTCATCAATGCCATTCATAGACTCAAGCAGTTACGTTAAGTATAACCACAAAACAGTGGGTAGCCGCCAAATCTTTATAATGGTGGAGAAATTCACCAGGGCTGAGACAGGTAAAAAATTTAATTTCGTTCACCAAAATTTCCGGCAGACCTGATAATCAAAGACAGAAAGACTATCATACCTGTAGTGGGTCTGCTAACAGGGTATTGCAAGATTAATAAGCATTTAAAGCTAATGGGACTGTCGGACCAAGGCATGTGCAGATTTGCGGATTTTCTAAATCAGAAGAAAAAAAACGACAGAACACATTTTATGTCAATGCAGACAAATGTGTAGTTCATTGTATTATTGGGCTGCGTTCAGATATTCAGGGTATACACCGGACGTAAAATTTACGTCCATAAGCAGTCTAGAATGAAAGATGTTCTTCTAGGGAAGCACGTCCTAATCGTTTACAAAATTAGATAACGTGTACCGGGGTATTAAAATTTTACCCACCTTTTAAGTAGGGTAATTCTTACTCGACATTCGCATTACAATTTGTTTGTTGTGTCAATTACTTTACTGTGGTTGTTATATTATTTTATTTTGATTAAATATTTACATTTATTATTTTATCATTTATCATCGATCTTTGTCTATGATCATCGTTTTATACGTATTATCAGGTATTATTTGTTTTTTGTTTTGTTGTTAAAATGGAAATGGATCTTCTCGAAATCGAAACTATAATTTGGTCCACGACGAATATGGGAAGTTTATATTTGATGAGAAAGGCACTAAACGGTACTGCTTCAAAATAAAATGGTATATTTGCTGCGCACATTAAATCTGAATCAGCTTAATTCTAAAATTTTCAAATGGAACTTTTTGCTATATTCAAAAAGAACTTGTTCATCACAGAAGAACAGTCTAAAAGTGAGTTTGAACGGCAGAAAGTAAGTTGATCTCGGGCAGAAAGACAGGTGAACAATGTAAAAATAAATTTTAATACTTAAAACTAAAATATTTTGAAAAACAATTTTCGATTCCCATCTTTTCATCATATTTTGACGATGTTTCGTGCACTATGAAACCCCATCATCAATGTCGAAAAAATCGTTCGATTTAAATGAAATTTTGTATGTCGAAATATTGGACCAAGACCAACTTAACCATGTACGAAATACGGTAGTCAATAGACGGACAGGCAGACGCACAGACAGACGGTGAGGCGGACAGCCGGACGGACGGACGAACTGACGGATAGTTGTTGCGCCAATTGTATTAGACGATGATCAACCATTGACAAAGATGTATAGGGAGGGTTCAGTCTCCAATTTATTAGACTTCTTGATAAGGATTGAATTGGAGAATATAACCAAGATATCAGAAAAATGATCTCTCTAAGTTCTGATTTAACATAATCCAGCCGCTAAATGGAAGAACTTTAGATTACCTAATCCAACAAGAAATGAGACAATATCCTTTACTGTAAAAAAGGTAAAAGTGTATCAGATACGATAAAGAGGATCCATGGCTCTTCGTTTATTAGAAAACAAACTGGCACATAATCAAGAACACCAGAGGAATATTTACGTGGAAAGATAATAAAATCTAGCCGAACACGTGTGATCAGACGATCATTGTATTATTATATTATTTTTGTCCAGGTACAATATACTAAGACAGAAAAAATATTAAATGAAGAGGACATTTGAGAAAGGCTGCATACATAAACTTTAATTTGAATGTCTTTATCAACATTACCGTGGAAATGCTCAGTGTATGTCGCCCTATGTAGAATGTTTCACCGCGCCCTTACAGATCTATTGTGTTTCCTTCAGTTATAACGGGTTATAACTCATGATACAGTTTCAGGGCTTAGACAAAAACCAGTATCTGAGAGGCTCCACAGAGGCCAGCTCTCCATCGTCGACGTCAGCCGTACCAAAGTTTATGACACCAACGGTTGTCCTCTCGGCACTCTCAGTGATAACGTCTTCTGGTGTTTCCCCATTTTCCTCACAGAATCTGCATTCACCGTTGTTTCTCAGCTTCAATCTACTGACGTGTTCGTTGAGAAGACCGTGTCCTGTTAGAAACCGCGTGACAATCCAGAGATTGTTCTTATCAATCAAGGAAAATCTTTGATTTTTTTTGAGTGTCTTAGACCGTTGGAGAATTTCAATTCCAGGTTACGGATGGAGTCCTCTACGTTCTTCAGTTACGCTTTAAGCTGCTTTCCTCTTGGAAAGCAGAACGGTTCTGGTCCAGTTAGTGGAGTGGTCATTCCTTTTCTAGCTAGATCTTTTTTTTTATTGCCTTCTATTTCTTGGTGAGCTGGTGAGCGGATACACAGAGTAGGAGGACTTTATTTTCTTTGCCTAATTTGTTCAGTTTCTCTAGGCATTCTATGTAAATATGTTATCCACTGGGAGTTAGAGGAGTGAATTTTTTTTTGAGGGTTTTCCAAGCCCCTGACCTGAAAATTATCCCAGTACTGAATCCGTCAATGACCATTCTAATCATTGGCAACTACCGCCGACAGTGTGCAGTGGTGTTAGGATGACCTCCATTCCTGCTGTTGGGCATGTTCACATAGTACCTGTGATGCAGATTCATGCCAATCTCTATAAGTTGCTCTAGTTTTGTGTACCAAGCAATTGCTCCATAGGTAATCATAGGTGTTACTATCATGGTATACATCCAGCGTAAAATGTTAGAGGCGCAGCTCCATCTATTTCCCGCCAGTTTTCTGCATTCGAGAGGCTTTGTAGCTTTGCTGGTAATGTTCTTAATATGCCTGTTCCAGAGAAGTTTACTGTCCAGTGTAATTTCCAGATATTTGACTTCCCGTTTTCCTTTCAAGTTTCTCAGACTTTGTTTCCTGGTGAATGGCACTACCGGAGTTTTCTCTGAGTTGATGCTCAGACCGACGCGACAGTCCTACACCATCTCACAGCAATAGAGAGTCCTCTTTGGATAATATCACACAGGGTGCCTACATATTTCCTCCGAGGGATCATGACTATATCATCTGCTTACCCTATGCAGTGTATTCCCGCTAGAGTTAATTCACTTAGTAGTTCATCCACTACCAATCTCCACAGTAGGGGGGAGGTTACTCCACCATGTGGTGCTCCTTGCGTTGTTTTAGCAACTACAATTTTGGTACCCATCTTAACCTTTACTGTCCGTGTTGAGTGCATTTACCAAAACCATCCAATTATCGTTCTGTTCACCCCTCTTGTTTCTAGAGATCGCTTGACCACCTTGTGAACTATATTGTCAAACGCTGTTTTTTTACTATCCAGTCTTGCCTGTGTAAATCTGTCCGCTCTATATGCATGCTGACTTTCGTGCAGTGGTTTAACCTTTAAATTATTTTCTCCAATATGGTTGTCCACTTTGATTTTTCCAACGTTTTTAGGATGAACGATGTGAGACTAATAAACCTAAATGATTTAGGGTTATCAGTTTTACCTATTTTGGGTATCAAGATTATTTTCCTCCAGATGGTTTGGTATATACCCCATCGCTAATATACTTCTTGTAATGTTTAATAGATAGTGAGGAACTACTTCTTAGCCATTCTTTAGAAGCTTTATAAGACTGAAAGGTGCTTCTTGAGCCCATTTCACTTTTTGTTCTGTTATTACTAGCTTGGTCGGAGCATGGGAAGTTTGTATGAAGTAGGAGGTTAGCTCTCTCTTCATCTCTTTCCGTATAGCTTCCGTCGGGTTTCTTAAGTGCCATGTTGGAGACGGACCGCACTTGGCCATAGCTTTGTGTAGTCTATCTGCATAATTAGTAGTGATGTTTTCACAAATGACCGCTCAGACCGCTTTGCCCTTCTAATCTCCCTATTATACTCAGTTAATTTCTCAGTATAGAGCTGCCATTCGCCGCTGTATCTCTGTTGAAGAGCCGCCCGACCTCCGGTCTAAGACTGGTCAGCTTCTTGTTCCACCAGGGCTTGTTGTTACTCTATTGTATACCCTTACTTGTGGGGCAACTAGATTCATATGCATCCAGTATTGCACCACTGAATTTCCCTGCGTACCATTCTATATGTATACAGGTGGTGCATCTCTTTGGTTTAAGTTGTCTACGAGATTGGTGTGGTATAGGTCCCAATCTGTTCTTCTTGGATTCCTTCGAATTTCTGTTTGGAGTGTGATTCCTCCTAATTTGAATGTCGCCCTATAAAAAATTCCATTTATTTGAAATAATGACTCACTTTAACAACGTTAAAGTCAGTCATTAACACAACTTAGTTAGCTTTAGCCAGTTTGTTTTAACCAATTTCATTTTTTATAAGGTTTACGTTCAAAATGCAACTTTATCAGGAGGAGTTGCTATTGGAGCATCTGCAAATTTGATGGTAGAACCATTTGGTGCAATTTTAATTGGATTTTTAGCAGGAGCACTGTCAGTGTTTGGATACAAAATAATATCGGTAAGTATCCATTTTTTTATATAATTATATTTTATATTTTTAAATTATATATATATTTTTATTATATATATATATATATATATATATATATATATATATATATATATATATATATATATATATATATATATATATATATATATATATATATATATATATATATATATATATATATATATATATATATATATATATATATATATATATATATATATATATATATATATATATATATATATATATATATATATATATATATATATATATATATATATATATATATATATATATATATATATATATATATATAACCCACCATTAAGATATTATTAAGTATCCATTTTTTTTATATAATTATATTTTATATTTTAAATTATATATATATATATATATATATATATATATATATATATATATATATATATATATATATATATATATATATATATATATATATATATATATATATATATAACCCACCATTAAGATATTAATACTTTTACGACAAAATATCCAGTGCGAGAAAAGTAAGGGTCCTTAAATTTATATGTATATGCTCTTTTATACATTTTTTGGAAACTAGTTTGATTTGAATTACGTCAATTTATTTTTCTTTAACTGAACTTTTTGTTATGCTCTTATTAAACTAGCCATTCATAGAAAAGCATCTCTCTATTGAAGATACATGTGGCGTACACAATCTCCATGGTATGCCGGGACTTCTTGGTGGAATTGCAGCTATTATAATGGCCTCCATTGCAAGCGAGAAGCAATACCATAAAACCCTATACGAAGTATGAATAATTATAACAGTAATTATTTTTCAGTTAGTACATGTTTTGCAGATTTATCGAGCTCGAGCTAGTCCTGTTGTATCAGAACCTACAGAATACATTCATCTAGAAGCAGGTGATGGTAGAACAGCAGGTCAGCAAGCAGGGTATCAAACTATTCTTGTATTAGTCACAATTGTTATGTCAGTGTTTTCCGGTTTTTTAACAGGTAAGTATTTATTATATTATCTATACCAGGTGCGTCTCAAAAGTGGCTCACCCCTATAAATTTTTTATCAGATTTTTCACATAACAAAAACGAGACTTGGTATAGTGGTATATGACATACAGTAGGATTGATTGACGTTTTAAATTGTTTTTGGTCACTTCCTGCTTCACCGGAAATGACTAAACTTTTGATTTTTAAATGGCAACCCTCGGTATATTTCTACTGTATTCGATAAAAAAATATAATCTGAATAAAATGACATATCATATGTCAACTTTTGACATTTTTACTTAAAAACAAATCGTATTTTAAATTTGAATCTAAAGTGCCATGGCTGTGTTAAAAACACTAATATTTAATTAAGGAGCCTTGGAAAAATAGTTTCGATCTTCTAATGTTTTTTGTATCTTGTCCTGGCCAGTTGAGAGATGCCTAGATCGTTTTAATCATATCTCAATTTTTTCAAATGGAACAAGGGTGGTTCATTAGCATATTTGGAAAAAGCATTTTTTACAAATAATTTAGTACCACACACTTGGTATTTCGAGTCAAATTGTCGTAATGAACCGCATATTACAATTTTAAATAAACCATATGCGAAAATGTCAAAAGTTGACATATGATATGTCATTCTATTCAGAGTGTCATTTTCTATCGAATAAAGTAAAAATATACCGAGGGTGCCATTTAAAAATCAAACGTTGTAGTAATTTCCAGTGAAATATTAAGTGCCCAAAAACAATTAAATACTTTAATTAATCCTAATTTATGTAATATACTTACCAAACTTGTTTTTTTTTTATCTGAAAAAATAAAAAAGTTATAGGGGGTGAGTCACTTTTGAGACGCACCCGGTATACAATATCAAAATTTTATGATTTCTTTTTTCGTATATCATAAAATATCTTAAAATAACAATACTCTATTATTATATTTACTCTATACTATTATTTTAGGATTTATTATGAACTTCAAATGTTGGAACCAAGTGACCGCAGAATCTTTTTACGACGATGCTGTATTTTGGAATCTTCCGAAAAATGAACTTGAAGTTGAAAATTTAAAGAACTATCAAATAACAGTAACAGGCAAACTATATAATTCACAAAACATTTTAAGAATGTCTGATGTAGAGCGATATTAGGCCGAACCATAAGTACCATTTCAGATAGGAGGAAAATATACTCACAATATATTTTTAACATATTTTAGCTTTTAAAATGTTGTCTTTTCCTAATAAAATTATTTAAACGCTTTCCAATAATACTAGTATTTTATTTATAATTATAATAGTGGATTTTGTTCATGTGTGTTACGAAGGGTGATCGAATAATAGACGAAGTCGGCTGTGACGTGTTCGGTCAAGAGAAATGGCTCCAAATTACGTTCAAGCTTGAAAATTGATCAGCAGGGACCTTAACCTATATTAATTACCTATTTTATCCTTAATTTCATACATACTAATGTTCTTAATAATATATTGAAAATATAAACATTGTATATGTATAGGCCAGTAAGCGAGGATAAAAATAGGGTATTACCTCCGAATTCTTCACACCCGCACCGATTGACGTGAAATTGCAACAGTGAATAGAGATATATGTAAGAAACAAAAGTTACATAGTAGCGATGTGTGCTTTCACCCTGGGGGTGAGACCCCTTCTCGGGGGTGAAAAATAAATCATCCATTTTAATTACAAAAACCAATAAAGGGATGAATTCTAAGTAGAAAATGTTCTATAACATTTTTTCAGAAAATTAATATTTTCCGAGTTATTTAGGATTGAAAATGTTGATTTTTTCATCTAAAAATTGCATATTTTCCTGCAATTTTTTATAAATAACTCGAAAATCTTGCGTTTTATCGCAAAACTCATATAAAGCAAAAATGGAGCTTTTGGAATAGCGAATCGATTCATTTTTTCGTTGTTTACCGTTGGTGTAGTAATAGCCGAGTTATCACTCTATAAACTTAATTCTTTATTTTTCGAAAACTAAATTACAACCTTTTACCGTAAAATAATGGCGAAAGAACACATTTTTCGAAGAAAATGAATATGACCGTTTTTAAAGTGCTTGAAAAGACCTTTTAAATGTCTGTTTTTTTTAAAGGTCTTTTCAAGTTCGTAGCTCAAAAATTCGCGGAGTTATGATAAAAATAAAATGGTCACCTCATTTTTTCGGAAAAAAATTAACAACAAAATCTATGTCTAAAATCATAAAAATAAAAACTATCAATTTGTAGGAAATTACACGAGCTACAAATTAACCTCTATAGTTGAACAGTCTTGAACTCTTCATTTTCACGAGATTTTTGGGTTTTAAGGGCTCAAAGAAGGTGGTCCTTACATGCAAGTCAAACTAATAAAACGGAATATCTACGAAATAAAGAGATCTACAGAAAAATTGAAAGGGAACAAAAATATTGCAAAAAATTCCTTCAATTTTCCTCTGTTGCATTTTTTACGTATCTTGCTCAGTTTTTGAGATATGTCAAAAAAATTAAAATTTAAAAAAAAGTAAATTGTTTTCATTATTTTCAACTTTTTTCCAAATTTAGGCATTTTAAACCGCTCTAATTTACAGAGTCAATTGTTAGTACCTAAATATAGCCAACTGTACTTGTATTACGCTTAGTTTTTATTTTTATGATTTTAGTCATAGATTTTGTTGTTAATTTTTTTCAGAAATAATGAGGTGACCCCATTATTTCTATCATAACTCCGCGAGTTTTTGAGCTACGAACTTTTTTAAGAAAGCATTTAAGAGGTCCTTTCAAGCACTTTAAAAACAGTCATATTCATTTTCTTCGAAAAATGTGTTCTTTCGCCATTATTTTACGGTAAAAGGTTGCAATTTAGTTTTCGAAAAATAAAAAAAATACGTTTACAGACTGATAGCTCGGCTGTTATAACACCTACGGTAATCAACAAAATGGATATCGTTTGGCTATTCCAAAAGCTTCATTTTTGCTTTATATGAGTTCTGCGATAAATGTTATTTTTAAAAATTGGGAAAAAATATGCAGTTTTTAGATGAAAAATCGACATTTTCAATCCTAAATAACTAGAAAAATATAAATTTCCTGAAAAAATGTTATAGAACATTTTTTGCTCAGAATTCACTGCTTTATTGATTTATATAATTAAAGTGGGTGATTTATTTTTCACCCTTGAGAAGTGGTGGTACTTGGGTGGTACTCACCCCCAGGGTGGAAACACATCGCTACTCTGTAACTGTTGTTTCTTACATAAATCTCTATTCACTGTTAAAAATTCACGTCAATCGGTGCAGGTGTTCAGTATTCGGATTCTAAAACCCTCGCTTACTGGCCTAGTATTCCATTTCTATTTTAACAGAAGCGGGTTTAATACTCCGTTCGCAATATACAAGAGCCTACAATGGCACAGTTACATAAAGAAAATTGTTAAATTTCATCCCCATATAGGTGGATATTCAGTATGTCCCCGGATATAGTGGATTTATTTCATGTGTGTTACGAAGGGTGATCGAATAATAGACGAAATCGGCTGTAACGTGTTCGGCCAAGAGAAATGGCTCTAAATTACAATGGCAGTTACATAAAAAAAATTGTTAAATTTCACCCCCATATAGGTGAATATGTAGTATGTCCCCGGTTTGTTTTTACAAGAGGAAAGGACTTTTCTAAATTTAGATACCTTTTTACTTCAAAAGAAACAAAACTAAAACAAAAAACTTAAAAAAATGGAATGGAAACTACGAGTATACAATAGTCATTGTGTCGAGAAACTGACTATTTTTAGTATTTTTTAAGAACATATTATTTTCTCTTACTTTTTTATCAAAATATTCGCCGGACCAAGTCATTCTGTTCCCGAACCTCCCCGATATCCTAAAGGAAATAGAGATTATTTAAATCTGTACCTTCTGTTAGATGCCTTTTCTGCAGTTATCAACAAGGTATTGATTACTGTAAATACCTTTTCTGTCACCAACACTCTGCCTCACCACACTTACCCTATACTTTAGAATAACTCTTAATGGCAACCTTTAGTAAATGTTACTTTCACTAGTAAATGTTAAAAATTACTAGTAAAAGTTGACAAATTTCTTTAAAATACCACATTCACTGGTCCAATGCGTAATTGTTAGCATTTCCTAGTGAATGTTAACAATCACTGAATTTCCGACATTCACTACAACATATATATACATATATACAACTACAAAAGTAGAAATAAGTACACAAATGCGATAATACGGTAATCGCAAAACATTTTTCGATGCACGTCATCAATCATATCAAAATTGACACTAAACCCGATTGCCTGTAAACCCGATTAAATGAAATTTTGGCAAAATTGTTTAAATTTGTTGTATAATTTAAGATACCGAGCAGCTCTTCATTTTACTTTATAGAGCAAATTATTGTAACAGGTATTTTATTTAGATTAAAGCTGCAAAAATTCGTTTAAACCGAATTTTATTATCGCTATGTTGGTTACATTGCGCCGTGTTCAGCAACGTTGTCGTTTATTATTTGTCAATTATATGATAATATCGTGTTCTCGTTTCTTTGCCTATTTTCAGTTTTTTTTTAAATTGGACTTTTAAGCACAAACAGTTCTCTTAAGAACCAAATTTTTGAGTTTTCGTACTGCATTTCTTAAAATTTGTGTGTTGAAAATATGTCGAAGCATTTATACAGTCGAAGCAACGAGCTTGTAGCTTCCATGATAAACTACTTTGAACGAGAACGTGACAATAATTTATGATTTATGACTCTGGATTGCAGTCAGAGAAGTAAGTTTGATTGGTAAGCAGTGTAAGCACATTATACCACTTTCAAAGTAGTTATATCTACTTTAGTTTTTAATAAATTCTGTGATTATTAATCTGTGCATTAATGGCACCCTCTTACTTGTTATTACCACTTGTGTGTTGTAAGTTGTACATCAATAAATAAATAGATAACCCATAATAACGCTTCGAATAATCTTCGTAATGGACTAAATTTTGCCAATATGTAATAAGTAAAATAAGCTGTAAAACAAATAAATCAATTAATTACTAATATTATTATTAAATTAAAAATAAAACCTAAATATCTTTAAAAATGATATATTAAATACATATATTATTTCCGAGGGGTCAACCACCATGTTAAAAAATGTACAAGATTTCCATATTTGGCAATCACTCATCAGTTATTCCCATGTATTCCCAAGTATTGCCACTGATTTCCACTAATTGCCAAGTGTTTTTATATGATTCCCAAGTGATTCCCAGTTTTTTAACGATTCCCATGTGATTCCCGATTGATTACCTGATTTCCTCGCTGATTTCCTAAGCAATCACCTGATTCCCAGCCAATTTAGTTACGAAAACAATGTTTAAGTGTTTATTTTCGTTTTATTGTGATCGAATAATATGTACTAGCTGCATCTAGCAAAGAAAATTAATATTTTAAAACAACATCAGAAATTTAAAAAAAAATATTTCTTCATTAGGCAATAAGCAATAATAAGCATGGTTTTTTAGAGATTTCATTATATTTCATTATAAATTTCAAGTTATAATAATTAAAATATACATACCTACATTTAATGCTAAAAATGAAATAAAATATCATGAACTGAAACTAAGAAAATAAGTATGAATGACATGCGAGATTGCGAGATACATTAACTAAGTAAAACTAAAACATACATAATATATGTAGGTATATTTGGCTCGTAATTTAAACAGAATAAAAAAAAACATTGTACTAAAAATATTGAGGCAGGTACTGCAATAGGAAAATGTATTCTTCTCAACTTTTATGTTTTTGGATCTATCTAATAAATCGGTTAGTTTCTCTTGATCAATTCTGCCATTGTTAAACTCTTCATTCGAAAATTTTTCAATATAATTCTTACCAATATTTATAACCTGCTACAGTGCCGAATTATCAAGTGAATTATTATTATTCACTCGATTATTTATTAAAACACTGTTAGTTGAATCACTTTCTGTATCAGTTTCAGATGGCGACAAACTACTTCTGCTAGTACCCGTTCTATTCTTCTTGGGGCTGTGCATTCTGAATGCAAGTTTGGTTGTTTAAAACTTTTAATTTTTTTCTCGGATTCTTCTTTAATAAATTTAATGAGTTTCTTATGTCCTTTGGGTATTTTAAAAAGTGAATATTCTTCGTAAAATATCCCAAACATTGCTTTTTTTTTCTTCTCCTTTCAATACTTTGGACAATACATCTCTGGCATATTATTCAATTTTTTCAACATCTTCAATATTCAGTTGGGAAAGGGAATATATGTTATCAAATACATTATGTAAAAGTGGAGTTGTCAGATATTATGGTATTTCATTTCCCAAGCCCTTTAATAGATTATTGATATAATCCATTCTAAAAATAAAAAAAACGTTCTTAAGTTAAACGATTTTATTAAAAATTGCCCTAAACAGTAAAAGATAATTTGGCACATTTCTGTGTATTGTAGTCTAGATTTAACGTTAATGGCACATTAGGTATATATAATTAACATAAGTTCCATATAAAATCGTGGCGCGATTATTAAAGATACACATCAAATGGGTATCAGATGATACCCATCAGATGATACCCATCAGATGATGCCCATCAGATGTATACGCCCCACTATTTTATATAGAACTTAAAAATATATGCCTAATGTGCCATTAACGTTAAATCTAGACTGTAATAAACAGAAATATGCCAAATTATTTTTTGCTTTTTAGGCCAATTTTTAATAACATCATTTAACTTAAAATGTTTTTTTTTAATTTATATTATATTTTACTTTTTAGTCTTAATCGAAGTCTTAATCAAAACACCCTCTCCGCTCCTTACTTCTTAAAACTGCATGTTTGTATCTGTTTTGATAAGAAAATTATGAACTTACCTCCTTTACACCCCTCACCCACCTACACCCGTTTTCGTTGATTACATTGGGAGTTAAATAATTTAACTTCCAATACAATTATTATGCAATTATTGTATTCTCGCCAGATCAAATCATCAATCTGAATACCGCCTATTCATATTTGATTTGGTTCCAAAATTGTGAAGTTCCCCCCTTCATACCCCTCACTCAGCCTCTTTTTTTTATTAAATTATATTACCACATAAAATCATGAATCTGAAACCGCAAGGTCGTATAATTTTTTATTCCCAAGTTATGAGTTTTTACCCCCTTTACACCCTTTACCTACCCCCTACTCCGTTTTTTTTATAAAAATTTCTTGTTATCAAATCAAGACATAAATCTGAACACCGCATATTTGTATCCGTTTTCATTACAAAATTCTGAATTTACCCCCTTTACACCCCTCACCCACCCCTGTATTTCCGATTTGTTTTCATAAGATTGAGTTCATAAAACATAAAATCCTCGTTAAAATCATAAATCTGAAAACCGCGTGTTTGTATCTGTTTTAATTAAAAGTTATGAATTTACCCCCTTTACATCCCTTAACCACCACCTATCCCCAATTTTTGTTTCATAATAATGTATTGTCATCGGACTTACATTACTGTGCCAAATTCCATTAAAATCGGTTCACGGGAAGTGTGTCAAAAATGAATCGCAAGATTTGACAGACAGCCCAAGTAAGTTAAATAAAATCGTTTAATCGAGCGTTTAATAATAAAACTATGTCATGACAATCATAAAGATACTTTTTAACTTTTGGGGCTCTTGTATTATTTGAAAATTTTATAGTAATAGCCATTCTAATTTAATTACATTTTTTTTTATCAATTAGCTGCTTTTGAAAATAATTTTGTTTAATCTGAACGCACCCAAAAATCAAAATTGAGAAATTGACAAATGAAATTTAACCTTATTACCGAGCTTGTTACCATCTGGCTTGAAAGCTAGAAACCTCAAATCAGCTGTTGATAATCGCCCATTTTTTATTTTATTTTTACACACCCGTCTAACCATACTTTAGACACCAAGTAAAGATTTTTACTGCTTTAGCAAAAGTTTTACGGGCCTGAACACTTTCTAATCACAATAAATAGGTACACATGCGAACGAGGACGAAGCGTCGTGAAAAACTTTTGCATAATGACATACGATTTCTAGATTAGGATGAGGTGATTCCGAACGATTACCACATCATTCCCAGCGATTGCCAGTTGATTTCTAGGTGATTCCCAGGGATTCCCATGTGATTCCCAGTTGATTGCCATGTTATTCCCAGGAAAATGTACAATGATTTCCACTAGTGGTTTACCCCTCGATTATTTCCCAATTTTAAATTATGATTCATCCCATAAATCCATCACAATATGGCAGCGCTGTCGCCATCGCTTGTTACTCAAGGTTGATCACATGCATCGGAAATTGTTTTACGATTACCGTAGAATAATAGTGTATTGATTATATTATATGTATATATTTTATTAACTGAACTACAAATATTCTATGAGAATTAATCCAGTTGACATAATAGTGCCATACTTCTTTTAATCCAGTGCGATGGTGGTAGGACTGTATCAAGTAAAATAGGTAACACGTAATTCGTAGAATGTCCTGTCGTGGACAGAACCCCCCGTCGTGCTGAAGTTTTATAGACTGGTGATATATATCTTCTTCCTAAAATGTAAGTATCATAGATATGTAAGTTTCTCCGTAGGAGAGTGATTTCGCTATATAGTCACTTGCATCGTATTTCGGACTAAAAAAAACATTATCATCTAATCAAAGGACATATATACCCTTTTTGAAGGAGTATCAAATAATATAATAGCACTCAAAAAAATACAGTTATATTTTAGTCATCACCCTAATCAAAACTTAACTACATTTGTAAAAAGTAGAGGAAAATAACCAAATATGGAATAGTATCCCTAATATAAACGAATACGCCTAATCGGAAAAGAGGTTAATTTTTAATCTCTTTCCATCATTATACTCCGTCGGACGGAGCATACGCGCCCATGCGAAATTATTCATATAAACTCATGGTACTTGCTCGAAGTTGAGGATGCTCCGTCGCGGACGGTCCGCTCCATCTGAAAGCGCTGTCACCGGGCGCTAGCTTCTCTGCAGCGAGGCTATTGAACCTCCCACAGGCCCCCGCTGCGGAGTCGCGTGCGGTAATCGGGCTTGGAAGCTATCATTAGAATAGGTTCTTAGTTGGAACGGTTGTCGGTTATCCGTTTGTTGTGAGATACATATATAGTGTTATGCCTCGTGCAATATGGAAAACAATAATACTACAATAATACTTCGGGTGTCGGGAATAGCGTTGAAAATGTTGGAGAAATGTTGGACTCTTATCACTCAGTGTCTGGTGCGTGTCCTAATAATAAAGTGATTTTCAACATTAAACACACTTCGCAGATAAGCTTCAATTAATTAGTAAAAGTAGGGCAAAACAGCCCATGAAAATTTTATCCACAAAAATTGTGTTACCTAGACATTTTTATCCCGAAAAATAATACAAACAATTTAAATGGTTAACAAGGTGTAAAAATATAAGTAAGTTATTTGGTTGGCCATGTTTATTATTTTAAAATCAAAACGGCCTCTGGGATAAAACTGTTTTCTTCAGATCTAAAAATTTCCATGAAGCTGTAAAAGATACATTATGTCCAAAGCACATTTGCAGGCCGTCATAAAAGAAAAAGTCTTTGGCAAAACCAGAATTGAAAACGCCCTTAATATGCAGTTGGAAATTAGTCACCCCCAACAAAATGAACTAGTGGATAAAAATAGGCAAATATTAAAAAGACTTATCGATGTCGTTTGTTTTCTCGGACAGATATTCAGCAACAAATAAACTGTAGATTTAACGGTTTAAATGATTTTAAATTCCTCGAGTTCTGCAAATTTGATGCATATAAGGAAAAACTTTTCCAGAAGATGCGTTTAAATCTTTTCTTCTTCATTATGGCCAGTTCTTCGACCGAGTGTTACTGCAATCTGAACTAAAAGCAATTTAAGAAACTGATAACATCAGTGCAAAAAATGGCATTAAAGAACTAATGTTGAAAAGACTAGAAAATGCCTACACTGAAGTATCTAAATTGTGTAAATTAGTATTGACAATACTTACCACAAGTTCATCAGTGGAACGCAATTTTTCAACACTTAAACGTATAAAAAATTTCGTGAGAAATTCAACGGGTCAGGAGAGACTTTCGAAAAATTGCTGATGTCCATCGAAAATAAACTTCCCCAAAACATGTCGGAACATCCACGTTTTTATGATGATGTAATTGGCGAATTTGCAAACAGTGATCGAAGAATCGAATTCATTACAAATAGATAAGTTTCTAAAAATTGCTTCCCTAACTTAAATTAAAATTTCACCGCACGCCTCTGGTCCTCTTCTCGTTTCGGTCAGAAGGATCACGACAGGTTATCAAGTGTAAACTGGAGTCACAGCTTACAGAATAATATAGCTTGGACACTCGCCAATTTTTCCCACGCTCGAATTTAAAACGCCCCACTCCGACGATGCGCTAACTGATTTAAGCGACCGACAGTCAGCCTCATTCAGTCGATGCATAGCCTCCACCTGTGGCGCGTAGGGCCGTATTACGGAAGATTTTAATTCGATTTTTTTTCTTATATTTAACCATAGGTATTTGTGCTTTTATTTCAATTTTATTTATTTTATTTTTATTGATGGAATGGGAAAAGGTTTTCCGGGATGTGCGGCTGCTGGTTGCACAAATAATTATAGAAATAATTCAAAATATAGTCTGTTTAATTCTCAATTCAATTCAAAATTAATGTTCAATTCAAAAGTATATTCACACTTTAGAGCTTTTCAAAACGATGAAGACTACTTATTTGGAGGCTTGCTAATGCCAAGTGACCATTTTGGAGGCTATTTTTATAAGCTTTTATTTAACTTGCTTTGTATGTAACTATCTATGTATGTATGTATGTTTGTTCGGGGCAAATCTTGTAAGCTAAATTAAAACCACTTCCTTTTATTGTAGGAGATTGAAATTTGGCATGTAGGTTCAGTCACGATGACAATACCACAGCTTAAGTAAAAACCAGCTCGGACAGTGTAGCGTGCCGCTTTGAATTTTTTACGCTCGGATTTGCGATTCGAAAGAGGGGGAACACTGGAGCGGCGAGCTCTCTCGCCAAAACCGAGAGCCGCGTAAGCGCCAGTCAGCCCAGAGATGTATTCAAAAAAATTTTACACGTGACGTAAAAAATTATTCGACTGGTGCTAGAACATAATTTAGATACACGTTTTTTAAATTGTTGACTTTAAATAAATATGCATTCTCAAAGAAAAACATTTAAAAAACAAATTAATTAATTTATTTCTAGAAATAACAGCAAAATGAAATAGGTACATTGATTACTTATAGTTATTTACGAATGTTTCTAAATTAGGAGCTTTCGGTTTTTGTTTGCTACATTTAAGTTCTTAGTAATATTCTTTAAGGTATAATAATTTCTAACTTTTGCGTATAAATTTAACAAAAAATACATTATAGGAAAATTTTGATTGATGGTTGAATTTAATTGTCTGAAATAATTTAACGAATTTACATAATATATTTTCATTTAAGAAAAGTTCTTCAAAATTGTTCTGAAAAATTTTATAAAAAAACTTTTTTAAAAACAAGTTTTTATTTAAATACACTAAAAAGAATAAAATAAACTTTTTCTTTAGAACTTTTATTATGAACTTATAACGTCATTACACAATTTTAATATTATATAAAAGCTTGTCGCGAGATTTGAGTGTACATTTGCACTCATAAAAATCTGGTACGACAACTTTATCTTGTAATTCCTGGTCTAGTGGTCTATCATAACAGAAACTTTGAGAATGAGACAGGGTAGACACAGGTTTTAGTTAATTTACTTGTTTATCGATGTAGAGAAATCTCGCGACAAGCTTTTATATATCTAATATTAAAATTGTGTAATGACGTTCTAAGTTTATAATAAAAGTTTTAAAGAAAAAGAGTTTATTTTATTCTTTTTAGTGTATTTAAATAAAAGCTTGTTTTTAAAAAAGGTTTTTTTATAAAATTTATCATCTACTTTTTAGTTATGCTTGTTTCTCAGTGCCACACACTTAAACTCAATTTTTTCTTAAATAACTTTCTATGGGTATCCTAATAATATGTATATCGATTTTCATTAAAAAAGGAGAACTTAAAAAAAACGACAGCTGTCAAATTTGACAGTTCAAATGTGAGACAAATAAAATGAAAACCGACTATGGGGTAGGGGGCATCCAATATATCGATTTTTATCAAAATCGGACAAATTTGAAATTATTTGACAGCTGTCACATTTGACAGCTCAAAATTTTTTTCTTTCATTTTAGCCCACGGCCATCATCGATTTTTATCAAAATCGGACAACTTTGAAATTTTTTTGACAACTGTCAAATTTGACAGCTCAACATTTTTTTTTCATTTTCGCCCATGGCCGTCCTATATATCAATTTTTATCAAAATCGGACAACTTTGAAATTTTTTTGACAGCTGTCAAATTTGACAGCTCAAATTTTTTTTCTTTCATTTTAGCCCATGGCCATCCTATATATCAATTTTTATGAAAATCGGTTGACTTTGAAATTTTGACATGTCATTAAACTGTCATTTTTTCAAGATGGCCGCCCATATATTTTTTTTCATATGTATATACCCACAATATACCTATACAGGTTGTTAAATTGTTCATTACTCGCGGCAAGAGTTTTATGGTTGAAATAACCTCGGCCCGCTCGTCGATAGACGACGCGACGGGACGAGTCGGCAGAAAAATCAATAATGCATACGTTCTCAATAGGCAGTGTTGCCATTCTGTTTCCCTATAAGTAACTGTCGAGTTAACAACCTGTATATATATATATATATATATATATATATATATATATATATATATATATATATATATATATATATGAGGGGCTGAGTTCCAAAACTAGTTTTATCCAAATTCGTTAATTTTCAATAATCGCAAAAAACGAACAGCAACTGAATTAGTCTTGGAACAAATGCACGACTTTAACATGTAAATTATACAGGATAGAATGAGTTACGCCACAAAAATGATGCTGAATATTGTGCAGGGCTGCCAATACTAAACTATAGATACTTTTACTCAAAATTACCAAAAATGGATAAGACGAGTTTTGAAACTCAACCCCTCATATATATATATATATATATATATATATATATATATATATATATATATATATATATATATATATATATATATATATATCAATCAATCAATCTCCTACAATAAAAAGTGGTTTTAATTTAGCTTACAAGATTTGCCCCGAACAAACATACATACATACATAGATAGTTACATACAAAGCAAGTTAAATAAAAGCTTATAAAAATAACCTCCAATGAGGAAACTAAATAAAAAAATGGTCACTTGGTATTAGCAAGCCTCCAAATAAGTAGTCTTCATCGTTTTGAAAAGCTCTAAAGTATGAATATACTTTTAAATTGAACATTAATTTTGAATTGAAAATTAAACAGACTATATTTTGAATTATTTCCATAATTATTTGTGTAACCAGCAGCCGCACATCCCGGAAAACCTTTTCCCATTCCATCAATAAAAATAAAATTGAAATAAAA